CCCCGCCTGGCCACGCCCTTTCTCCATCCTGCCCTCGCCTTTAGGCGCCGAGCGCGCGGACTGTCCCTTCCTCACTGTCACGGAGAGAGCCCCTCTCTGCCTACGGGTCCCGCCCCCGGATATCCCCTCTCCTGACTGCCCAGAGCCGCGTCCCCGCCTGTGTCCTGTCGCCACCAACCCCGGTTCCCAGCAGCCCATCTGCTGACCGCCCCTTCCCCTGACCACCCCGGGCCACTCCCTCGCCTGCCCTCCGGTCCCAAGTCCTCTCCACCTCGCTGTTTCCAGAGTCCTCACCCTGCCCCCGCCCCTGCTCGTCCGGGTCGGTCCGTCCCGTCCAAGTGGATTCTGGCACCACCCTAGACCCCCAACCCCGGGTCCACCGAGCTCCTCCAGCTGACCTGAGCCCTCAGGACCTTGTCCCCCACCGAGACCCCTGACGCCCGGGCCTAGGTCTCCCCCTTCTGCCTGCTGACACCTCCCGCGGTCCCCCCACAGGCACCGGAGAGACCCCGACCCTCAGCACCCTGGACTTCTACATGGCCCGGCTGCATGGCGCCATCGAGCGTGACCCTGCAAGGCACGAAAGCCTCATCGTTCGCATCAAGGAGATCCTGGCCCAGGTCGCCAGGTGTGCTCTGCAGGTTCCCGGCCCGGGGCCACCCGAGCTGGATTGAAGGGGCCAGGTGGAGCCAGCCAGTGGGGTCCCCTGGTCACCGCGCCTGGGGGGAATCTCCCAAACCTTCTGGGGGCCTGAACTTCCCAGCTGCCTTACCCTGGGGGCTCGGCCTCGAGGGTCAGCAGGCCGGGCTGGCTGGACAGTGATGGGATCTCTGTTACACCCCCTCCTCTGTCACAGCGAGCATCTGTAGGACCAGCTGCCAGCGCATCTGAGGAGCAGCCTCCCCATGTCCGGCCGATGGAGGAGAGCCTGGGGGTCCAGCCTTTGGGGCCAGGCCCCATCCTGCACCTTGGGGGCTCCAGCCCCCCAAAACTAAATCTCTACAGCGTCCCTTCAGCTTTCAGCCTCCCCAGCCCCAGAACCCAGAGAAAGCACTGGCCCCTGGACAGGTCAGGGCCCAGAGGGGATGCACAGGACTCACGGCAAGCACCCCGTGGGAGGGCTGCCTAGGGCTCCCTGCACCCCCAGAACTGTTCGCGGCAAGGGCTGCATGCATGTTGGCCACGCGGCAGGAGGAGCCTTCGGTGGCAACTCTCAGTCTCAGCGGCACCTGGGTGGGGAGGGTTGGGTGCCCTGACCGTCCCTGGCCCAGCTGAGCAACTCTCACGGCGGCAGACCCTTCTCACTGCTCACTGCAGACTTTTTAAATAAAATCTCACAGGATTTGCGTATCAAGCTTGTGGATGCGGTTGGTTGGGGGGTGGGCCGGCCGGAGGATGCACCCGTCACCCCGTCACAGCCCTGCTGGAACCCAGCTCTGCCTTACTTTGTCTGAGATGGGAAAGTGAGGCCCACGCTTGGCCAGATTCACAGTGAGGCGGGGACAGCCATCTCCTCCCCCTCCGGAATGTGGCGCGGGGGGCAGCCGCACACGGGACTGAGGCCATTCAGTTTACCCTTCAGTGGCTTCTGACTAGGATTAGAAACCGCTTCCAGGCAGAGTGACTTCGGCAGAACATAAACTGGACCATTTTAGCCATGTAGAGACGCACGATTCAGAGACACTCAGCACACTGTGTGGTGTAACCGTCATTATTAGACAATTCTCACACTTTCTCGTCACCACAAAGGAAACGTCATCCCCACGAGGAGGCAGTCACCCATCCTCTCCCAGCCCAGCACCTCCGAGTCCACTTCCTGTTTCTGGAGTCGCCTCTCCCGGGCGTTTCCTGTCCGTGGATCCCAGGCTGTGGTTCCTTCTGTGTCTGGAGTCTCTCCCTGAGCACAGGGTTTTCAAGGTCCTTCCACATTCTAGCAAATGTCCCTTTAGCAGGTTTTTAAACCTCGTCAGAGAGAAGCACTTTTTTGAGCCAAAATCCCTAAGATTTTTAGTTTGTTTTTGAGACAGGGTCTTGCCAGGTAGCCCAGGCTGGCCTTGAACTCACTATGTAGCCCAGACTTGTCTCAAGCCCATGGCGGTCTTCTGCCTTGGCCTTCTGAGTGCTGGGATGGTATGTGTGCCACCACACCCAGGTCCTGTCTAGGAATTTTAAGGGAAGCTCAAGTGTTTCTAGTGCCATGTTCTCAGGGGATTTTTTACAGGCTCCTGGTTCCCTGGGTTAACTTCTGTAAGCTGGAAATCCATACATTTCCTCCCAAAATTGTGAGCAAAATGTGAAATTTTCCTCCCAAAATGTGAGCACTTGCTATGTGCAGCACACAGCCAGCAGTCCACCCCTGGAAGAAAAGACACCCATTCCTGCCCTCCCAGAGCTGACCTTGTATGTCCCTTGTAGGGACACGGGCAGGGCACAAGGTGAAGAGGTGAAATATCTAAGGTACCTCATGGTGCTAGGGTGAGAAATAAACTTGAGGAAGAGACATCGGGAGGTGGAGAGAACAGGTGGTCTTTGGGCAAAGACCTGAAAATTGAGAGAGTGGATCATACACAGTTCTAGGAAAAGGTGGTCCTAGCAGAGGGCACAGCTATGCAAAGGTCCTGGGGCAGCACAGAGCCAGGTTTTGAGGGCCATGGTGGAGTCCCATGTGGTATGTCTGAAGCAGAGGGACCGAGGGGCAGAAAAGGGAGGGATGCAGAGGGACATGCAGGGCCCTGTGGGCTGCACAGGGAACTTGGATCTTTCCGTTGAGGAAAGCGGGAGTCACAGAAGGCTGTGAGCAGAGGAGAGACTGAGATAGGACTCACTTTATAGCAGCTTAACCCTTCTGCCCCATCTTCAGGTTGTAACAAGGAGTAAATGATCCCCTAGCAAAGAGTGCCCGAGGCACTTCAGGGGCTGGCGACCTTATTTGTGATCCTTGTTATTCTTAGGTCCACAGCTCGGGCCCCAGCGGACGCCAGGCGTCCCCGGGGAGGGCGCAGCTGGCCTGGCAGAGCCTGGACACCTGGGGCCCGCGCCTCCTTCCACACTGTGGTGTCGCCTTCCCCGCCGGCTCGGGTTCCCGGATCCCCTTACCAGACGGCTCGGCTGTCGCGTCCT